CACTTACATAAACACTTATAAACTTCCAGATGTTTTGCTAATAATGCAAACTTGTATCCAGATCAATCCACACTGCACTACAGTGTAGTGCTATGCTGAAAAATTATCCTGTCCGCTCTCTCCCAACCATTCTCCATCAGTTAATGAGAGATCCTATTGCATTCAACAATCATCAAAAGGGATAGAAGATTTTTTTGAAATTCTAATGGATGGGTTGCAGGGTTTGTTTGGGAGGGGGCTTGTACTTGCCTTTCTTTTGAGGTGGCCAAAGCATGATTGCAAGTGTCCTTTTATTCTACAAATCATCCCATCAGCATTTGCAGCATTCTCACTGGCCTGCTCCCCAATTAAAGCCCAAGGGAAGACACCACAACCCATGATGTAACTGCTCAGTTTGGGCTTTCTTAGTTCAGGAGGTGCAGGCAGCCAAGGAGGTTGCAGGACTCTGGGAGGAAATTTACAGGAAACACCATGCACACATGTCCCACACTTGGCCATCTTGCAAGAATAAGGTAAGCTCAAAACCACACCTCCAACACAATTCCTACCCCAAAAAAAATTCAGCTGCCCTGAGACTATGGCAGAAATATGGATGCTTCTTGTTACAGAGGAGGGAGGGACTCTTGAGAAATTAAAGAGCATATTTCAGTGCAGCCCTACCACAACTGGTCCCAGCCTCAAATAGATCTGAATGCATTGCACCCCAGAGAAATTGATATTTGCTGAAACTTCTGATAGTTTTCCAGTGCCAGAGTGATAACAGGTTGACTCTCACCTGCTATGCTGCATGACAGCAGTTGCGTCAACGTTTAAATAAGGAAGTGAACAGTGATTCATTTTGACACTGATGGATAAAAACCTCAGCATTCTCAAGGTAGATAAGTGGTACAGATCTTCATGTGAATTTTATCTTCATGTGGGTAGAAAACTCTGGAAAAAGAAAAGAAAAACCCCACACACATGAGCAGCAGGGCTAAGAATAGCACCAAATAAACATTCAGGACAATACATAATTCCAAACCTGCTCATGGGATGTGTTGATTAAGCTAATTTGCATATTAATTCAGGAGAGAAAACATCAGCTCTTTTCTTGGGATAAATATACACAGCTGAAGCACCAAGGCAAGGCACCGACTGGTTTATTTGCTTTCAGCTTTGTTTCTTCAGCAACAGCAAAATCTTACCATTGCAGGAAAAACACCTTTTACTATCTCGGGGGCAATTCAGATTGCCTGCAATGTGCAAACAACTAGGAACTGCTATGGCTGGATTTGAGAGGAAAGATGCCCTTTGTTAATTACATTTGAAATACGACTATACTCATCCATGAGAAAAGTTTTGGGAGTAAATCCCAAGGAAATATCTGTTCCCGCTGCCTTGTGGGACATCTTTGGGAGAAGAAAAGGCTAAAGAGTCAACTTACAAATCTGGTGTGGAGTCCCTAAGACAGCTGGATGGTGCCTTGTACACCTCCTTCTAGCAACTCCTGCAGCCAAGCCAAACATATCGCTCTGCTTTTCTTTGGACTACATATGTGAAGCCAAGAGGTGGGTAGCCCAAGCCTGGGCAGCCCAGGACCTCCATTCACATGGCCCAGGCTTGTGTCCTGGAGAGATCACTTCAGTGCTGCTAATGCAGCAAAAACAACATGGGAGGCAGCAGTTATGACTTAACATCTCTGCAGCCACAGCAGGCGCTGTGATTCTCCAGTGGTTTGACTTCGCTCCCGGAGGTGTACTCCATTGTCTTTTGAGACAGATGGATGCCAACAATCCTACCTTTTCTCCAGGGAGCTCAAGTGGGCATGCAGTGTTCTTCCCCTCCCTTTATCCTCACAAAAACCTTGATGTCCTGCCCAACCCACAGCCAGCCAAGGAAGAGACATGTCACTCAGCCATGACACAAAAATAAGCATCACTACAAATAGCATATAAACCAGCATGTGTAAGACAGGCAACATTTCCAGCACACATTCAGACACATGGAGGGATTCCATAAATAGCTTATTTACAAGAGGGGGCTGCTTCTGTAGGTCTCTGACATTAATAGTGCAAAACAAAACATTATAAGGAAGGGGGTGCAGCTCTCATGGGACAGGAGAGACTAAACTCCTGCAAGAGCGCAAATTGTTTTCACTCTCAAAAAACGATCTTTCTGCAGTTAAAAAAAAATCAGCACACAGTTATGAGACTGACTTCTGGCACAATGCAAAGTGCTCACTTGGAGACAAAATATAAATCCACAGATGCACACAGGGGAAGGAGATAAGGGAGAATGGAAATTATAAGGTAACATTTATGATTTATGGGGAATTCTTCATTTTACTGCTAATCATAATGGACTCCTGCTGCTTATAACCTTATTGTAATCAAAGGGGTCTATTCATTTCTCACACAGTTATGTGCACATAACTCTTATTAGCTTCAGTGCAAGCTATGCTCTCGCTGTGAGGGGCAGAGAGGTCCCATACAATTAAATCATTTGCTGTAGCTGCATTGTAAATGATTAGAGTGGCTTGTAGCATTATAATTATAGATAACAATATACAGTTTTAATTTAAAATAAGATTTGCAGCAGTGCCACGGTGGCTTCACGCTAAGGGGGAGGAAAGGGCTAACATTGTCAAGAGGTTACATTCAGACCAAAGTGTGAGTTGGTCTAGGATCTATTTATTCCATCATTAGCACCTTCCTGCAGTAGACCTGCTCAGCCTGTAGAAGGAGGTTTCTCGAACCAGCATACTGAGATCCAGCAGGTGGCTGCTTTCATTTCACAGCTGGGATGCAGGAGAAATTCAGTCAGTTCACCAATCTAATTCACACTACCCAAACCAATGCCTGAAGTGAATGGCAGCCATCCTTCAAAATATACACTTCTCCAAATTTTGCTATGCAGTTCTCCAACCCAAAAAATGTGTACAAAAGCACATATATGCACAAAAAGTGTGCACAAAAATGAATATATCTTCAACACATACCTGCCAAAGTGGCCAAAAAGCCAATTAACCCGTTTCTTCTTCAGCACCCATCTGAAGTACTTCTTCCCTTGCCAACACAGTGGAGCAGGAAAAGAGGAAACCTTCATGATAACAAGACAACTGATCATTACTTCTGACATTGATGGACACCTACTCTTCAGGGTTCCAGGCAGGGATCTTTCCCAGCCTTACCTGGAGATGTCAGGGACTAAACCTGGGATCTTTTACATATGGATCATGTGGTCTGTCACTGAGCTATGGCCCTTTCCCTTAGACAAAAAGAAACACTGCACTACCAAGTCAATCTCAGTATGAGTCAAAATTCCTACAAGGCATCATGCAAGGCTACCTGTTAATCTTACAGTAGAAGGTGGGGTGAGCGCTGGCAAACACCAAAGAAGGTGGGGACTGGGCAGAGTGGGTTTATATACCCGCACTTGGCTTAACCTTTCTCTGTCAACATGATATGTGTCTGCACATCATGTCAGGGGTTTCCTGTCTCTCTCCTGGCCCTGCCTGCAATCCCATCCCTGCTTGGACCTGTGCTAGGCCAAGAGGAGGAACAGTGTTGTGAGTAAGGCTTCATCTCTTCTGAGAGTGCGATCATTTGTTAGCGACCCACCAATAAGTTCTGCGATGCAATATGGAGTTGCTGTTACTGATTCCCCATCAACACCAAACAAAGCACTTCATGCTCCCTCATCGGTTGTGTGAAGGGGGTGCTATGAAGATAGCTCATTGCAAGAGAGTATTGCGATGACATGTCAAAAGTACAATAGCCCTACATATTTCATCACCTTGTCACAAGTAAAATAGCCCTATATATTTCAGTACCTTGGACAGCAAACACTATGGTAGAAAGATGGAAGGAACACGCTTTGAGATTGGAACTGCAGAGTTCTCACTATGGAATTGCTATGCTCTCACTTTAGCCACTGAGAAAAGAGTTATTATGGGAGAATGCTGTACCACTATAAATTCTGTAGTGACAATGAACCAATGTGGTCTAACCAAGATCACCATCTAACTTGTGGAAGATTAAGATGCACCTAGAGCATGCAGCCCTGAAAAATGCTTCATGCTGAAATGTCCCCAGAGGTGGCTGCTTTTCATGTCCCCTCTGAACCCAGCCTTGGTAGTCTACACATTGCTGGTCTTTCTGCCCATAATACCTGTGATAGTCATTCTGGTGGTTCAAAAAACAGAACAACCAGTGCTGTTTAATTTTGCAAAAATTCTCTTGAATGAAGAGGTGACTCACACCCATCACATATTACTGAGCTCTTTTACAGACCTTTCTTACACTGAGTGATTGAGATACAGTGGTACCTTGGGTTACATATGCTTCAGGTTACAGACGTTTCAGGTTACAGACTCCGCTAACCCAGAAATAGTACCTTGGGTTAAGAACTTTGCTTCAGGATGAGAACAGAAATCGTGCTACGGCAGTGTGGAGGCAGTGGGAGGCCCCATTAGCTAAAATGGTGCTTCAGGTTAAGAACAGTTTCAGGTTAAGAACGGACCTCCGGAACAAATTAAGTACTTAACCCGAGGTACCACTGTATAGAATTCCCCTTCTCACCTCTCTTGCCTTTTTCTAGTGCTAAATGCCCAACATGGCATTGGAGGACACCACAGTAACCGCGGACACACACACCCTTGGTACCCACCAAAGCCCCCTGGTTCTCTCTTTTAAAAAACCAACAACAAACCTGTCAATTTCTTTTGGTCATTGGCTGGAAGGGGTTGCCTGTTTGCATGCAATGTTGGCTGCTTGTTTTCCCTCTGTGTTATTTGTTTGGGTCAACACTGCCAGTTTTTCTCTTCTGCGAAATGGGCATTTTGTTGTGACCACAATAATTTCTTTCCAATGTGCCCCCAGGGCCAAAAGGGTTAGGATTCTCAGTTCTAGTGGGAAATCTGTACACTCATCAGTGCTGTCAAATATGATCTATAGAGGATACTCATAGAATTGGAAGGGACCACGAGGGTCATCCAGTCCAAACACCTTCAATGCAGGCATCTTTTCCCAACATGGGGCTTGAACCCATGGCCTTGAGATTAAGAGTCTCATGCTGTACCAACTGAGCTCTCCCATCTTGGAAGCTGCTGCATGCATATAAAAAATGTTTATGACTACTGCATCTCCAGGATATATATTTTTAGCATGCCTTAAGTACTACTCAGAGCCAGAATGATTATGGGATTAGGCCCTTCCTTTTGTTTCTAGCGCTGAAAACTGTAGCAACTGCAACAGGAAGGACTCCCCAGAGGGCGGATTAAATGTAAAGAAAACCGGCATCTGCATAATTGTCAAAATAAGCATGACTAGGGCCAAGTCAAGGGCTTACCTCCCTTTTGACTGAAATAGCAGGTGGTTCCTTAAGATGCTGAGATAAAAATTATATTCTTTGGTTGAGATGTACTGATACCAGCAGGTAATTGTATTAATTTCCTTTGAACAGGTGGACAAAACATTAGCAAACTGGGGTATGGGTGGAAATACACTTTTGTCTTCTCAGTATTATTCCACCAAGATCATCAGGTTACACAGCTCTATTAATCCAACACCTTTCTTTTCAGCTTTTTAACTGAAGTCACGTCATACTGCCTATTCAAAAACATGTGATGGTCTTAGGCGTCTGAGTCACCAATGCTTCTTATTCACAACAACCAGAGATATGGTAAACTGATGACAATACATCAAAAATTAAATCAGCCAGCTATGAAAGATGTATACTGCTGGCAGCAAGTTTCCTAACCTGATATTATGGTTAAAGCAGATGCAGACTTAAAGACCTACAACATCTACTGGAAATCAGCAACAGGCAGTGTTCACATCTGAGCACGGGATACATGATATTCCATTGTTCAAAGGGGAAAACTGTTGTTGGAATCATGTTTGTTAATAAAGAAGGTCGGGACAGGCTATATGAGCCTACCTGGCTACTGAGATCTAACTCTGAAACCCTGTTCCCAGCTGAATTAACCCCCCTCACTAGCCGAAGTCACCAGAAATAGCTTATTGTGGTATTTTCTTTTCAGAGTGGTTCAACCAAGGCTATATTTGTTCCTTTGTTTGTTTGTTTTTTGGTGCCAGCTAAAAACATATATTTTAAAAAATCTAAGGTTTTACCTTTTTTAAAAACAAGTAACCTTTTAAGCTTTTGGTCATTGTTCTGTTTTGCTCTGGATTTCACTCCTCACAATTGCCTTGTTCTGTTGATGTTATTGGATTTTATGTTTTCATTGTAGCTTCCTCTAAGGGCCATTTTTAATTTTTAAAAAAATCTTACAGCATTTTCACCCATTCACCAGCTGAAAAAAGACTCTCAGAGTAGCATACACATATCAGTAATTAGACAGTACCTACCCTCAGACTCACAATCTAAAATGCACCACACAAGAAGAAAGGGGTTGGGAAAGGAGGGGAGGAAGCAAGCACATACACTAGTTATTAGCTGCACAGCTCTTGTAACAACCAGCTACAATGGGAAGTTTGAGGAGTGGGGGAGCCTGAAGTTGAGGTCTTTCAGTCAAGTCAATGGGGGGCTCCAAACCATATGTAGATTTTTCAAGTGAGTGCAATAAAGAAGCAATGTCTGGTGGCGGCGACAGTTTCTGCCTCAACATATATGCATGAAGGTGTAGAGCCCGCAATTGGCTAAGCAGATGTTATTGAAGTCCTATGAATGGGTGAGGGAGAAAGAAAGAAAGAAAGAAAGAAAGAAAGAAAGAAAGAAAGAAAGAAAGAAAGAAAGACAGAAAGAAAGAAAGAAAGTTATTCTTATTTATTTATTCATTAAATTTGTAAAGAAAGAAGGAAAGATTTTCAGATTAGAAATGACACAAGCACAGAATTCATCTGCATTATGGTGAGATAAGTAATGGTATGATTACCTTCAAAATTATAACATTTTTACATTAATTCAGCTTGCCAAAAAGAAAGAGAGAGGGGCAAAGAGATGGTGAGTGACTGTGGAGCAAATAACTGTGTCACATCTTGCCATCTTCCTTAATTACATGCAGGCAGCCAACTCATAGCAGAGGAAAAGAGTTTCGTGAAGCAAGCAAATCTATATATTCCTGGCCATTTACACCCTGCCAGAACTTGTACTGAATGCTAAACACTTACTCTAACCATGTATTTCAAGAGTCACTTTGGCCGAAGTGACTGAATAATGTTAGTTAATACAACATTAAGGTACAGTAGTCCTCAACACACTTGACAGCCCTGTCAAATTATGGGTTTTTCTGCACCAGTGACTTGCTTCAAAATAATGTCTGTTTAATGCACATTGCACTCATGGAAATCACAGACTTGTGGGGCATATTTACACAACAGTCTGGAGCGCATTTAATAATCGGCCTCTTCCAGAACCCCTAGCATCCGTGACTTTGTGAGATGGAATAGGGAATCTTTAAGAGAGACTTTCCAGTACAGTGGTACCTCAGGTTAAGAACTTAATTCATTCTGGAGGTCCGTTCTTAACCTGAAACTGTTCTTAACCTGAGGTACCACTTTAGCTAATGGGGCCTCCCACTGCTGCCACACCAGCACCGTGCGACTTCTGCTCTCATCCTGAAGCAAAGTTCTTAACCCAAGGTACTATTTTTGGGTTAGCGGAGTCTGTAACCTGAAGCATCTGTAACCTGAAGCATCTGTAACCCGAGGTACCACTGTATTCTTTGATGAAGCCATCACTGCTAAAGCAAGACTGAGGCACATTTGTAGTGCAGAAATGTCCATGGAGTGGAGGGGGTCTAAAAGAAATCTGCTGTGATCCAACTAGGGCAATGAATATTCAGAAGCCATGCACATCAGTTGGCACTATGCATACAATTCTGGGCAGCATCAACTTCTGAGTTGCATGTTTGGGTCTCATCTCTAGATCAAGAGCTGCAAATATAGCCCTGATCAAATGATCAGAGAAGCACCAATAGGCTCAGTATTGCCAGTTATTTGGGCAGAGAACACCAACATGAAAATACCTTCTTGAATCTTGATCCCAAACATGACACATCTGCAAAGTGAAATTCCAATGGCATGCAAATCTGTGCAACCAGAAACTGGTCTCAGACTGTGCCTGCCCCTGATGCTCTGCCCTGATGCTCAGAATCTCACAGTTAAACAATGGCATTTGTTCCCACAAGAGAAAGTGGTGGCCTCCAACTTGGGTGGCTTTAAAAGATTAGACAAATTCCTGGAGGATACATGGGTGGCGCTGTGGGTTAAACCACAGAGCCTAGGACTTGCCGATCAGAAGGTGGGCGGTTTGAATCCCACGACGGGGTGAGCGCCTGCCAACCTAGCAGTTCAAAAGCACGTCAAAATGCAAGTAGATAAATAGGTGCAGCACCGGCAGGAATGTAAACGGCGTTTCCGTGTGCTGCTCTGGTTCACCAGAAGTGGCTTAGTCATGCTGGCCACATGACCCAGAAGCTGTACACTGGCTCCCTCAGCCAATAAAGTGAGATGAGCGCCGCAACCCCAGAGTCGGCCACACCTGGACCTAATGGGTCCCTTTACCTTTACCTTAAGGTACCAATGCCTTCTATCCACAATGCCTATGTCCTACCTCCACTGTCAGAGGCAATATGCCTTTGGGGTCTTGTTGGTGACGATCAGATCACTTACATTGCTGTGTTTTACATGTGTACTTAAAAGTAAATTCCACCTAGATCAATGACAGTTCCTTCCATGCAAGTAGGAGACACTCTGGGGCTGGAACTGGGACTTGAACTGGGAACGTTGCAGCGTAAGACTGGAACCTATCCTGGTCTGCTTTCGAAGATAGAGGTGTAATGAACATTCAGACCAAGGTGAGGATAGTGCTGAGCCAAACTATTCAGCCCAGACTCTCTTTTTTTGTGGGGGAGGAATTAATTGGCTAATGGCAAGCAACCATGATGCATATGTTCTTCCTTCACTGTTGGAGGCTGTATGCCAGTTGCTGGAAACCATAGGATGAGAGAGTTGCATTATGCACAGGTCCTGTTTGTGGGATTCCCATAGGCATCTGGTTGCCCACTATGAGAAGAAGATGCTGGACTAGGTGGGCCCCTGGCCTGATCCTGCAGGGCTCTTCTTATGTAACTGCTAATGCCTCTTTCTTGCCTAGATGGATCTTTGGTCAGTGACCATAATAAATCAATTCATTCATTCATTGCCTAGATGGAGAGGAAGTGTAGGACTTTGTGTGTTTGTGTTTGCATAGAAACATCTGACATTTGCATGGCTGGAATATAACCTACTGGTTACAACGTTTAGCCTTGCCCACCACTGGAACATAGATCTCCTAGAAGGTTGTCCACGAGGACTGAAAAATATTCCCCATCCCATAGATAGATAGATAGATAGATAGATAGATAGATAGATAGATAGATACTGGATTTGCCTTGATTTCATTTTGTGTGTTCCTGATGCTTTAATTGGCAGCACTTTTGCTTGGTGCCTGGAGACTGTGAGCGCAGCTCCATCTGGTGGCTCCTATGACTTTAGGAAGAGCAGATCAGCCTGGCCATCCTCTCTCATCCAGGCCAAATCAGAGGGGGGTGGATTAAATGAATTAGCATCAGCATATTTATTTAAATTCTGTTTTAATTAATCACAGATTGAGTGGTAAATGAGCCGCTAAGTGGAAAGTGGGCAGAGTGGGGAGGGGTGCTGAAGTGAGTGATGGCTCACAGATAATGAACCTCATAAACGAAAAGGGCAGTTATGCTTCTAATCGTACACTTCCTATGGCCAAACTGCACATGATATCACACGTGCGTCTTTGTATCTAACATGCAGGATCTGTCCTTTTGTTTAAAGTAGGAGGGGAGTGATAATTCATGGGACCACAGTGTGCATGGAGAGTGGGATTTAATCCCTTTCTCCCCTGCTGGAATCCTGTGGAAACTCCCACTTCCGAAACTGGTATTCACAGTGGGGTGGGAGGAGGAAATCCCACACTGATACCAAAAAGGAATTTCTTCCCAACGGCAATCAACACTGGAGGATTTTCCTCAGGGCTGCAACGGAAGGGGAAAGGGTTAAACTCCCACTCTGCCCCTGGTCTGATCCCATTATTTCTCTGACCATGGTGGTCCAA